AAAATGTCCACAAGACAGGAGGCCCTTATCTCCTGCCATGCAGCCGTAGTCTCCAGGCACAGTAGGCACCGTGCGGCTGCCTGCTCTCGTACCAAAGCTCACATGCCCAGTAGCTGCCATGAGTCCTCCCTATCAGTGAGTTTAATAAATGAATTTAATAGAAGACTGGGAGGAACATGCCGTGCTTATTTAGAAAATGAAGCAAAAGAGGAAAGGCATGGAACATCGGAAACAGTAAGAAAATAAAGTTGAATCTGCTTAAGAAGTCAAACTTCTGGCTGATGATATGTGAAGGTTTCCCGGTAGAGAAGGAAAAGTCATTTCCACACGGCAGACCTGCCAAAGGAGCTTTACAACAAAGGAACAAAGACCCACACCAGAGCACATCCTTGGTGAAATTTTAGGCCACCAGGATTAGAAAGAAGCTTCTCAGGGAGGAAAAAAATGCAAATGTCAGAACAGCCTCAGTTTTTAAGCACCAATTCTGAAAGCAAGAAAGGTGAAAAATGTCTTAAAAATTCTGAAGGGGTAAACCCGGCACAGTAGCCTCGCAGCCAAAGTTCTCCTGTTGCATACGCCAGGATCCCATAGAGGCACTTGTTCTAATCCCAGTAGCCCCACTTCCCATCCAGCTCCCTGCCTGTGACCTGGAAAAGCAGTTGAGAATGGCCCAAAGCCTTGGGACCCTACACCTGTGTGGGAGACCCAAAAGAGGCTCCTGGCTTTGGATCGGCTCAGCTTCAGCTGTTGTGGCCACTTAGGGAATAAATTATTGGATGGAAGAATTCCCCTCTGTCTCTCCTCCTCTCTGTATATCAGACTTTCCAATAAAAAAAAATCTTTAAAAAATATATTAATACATTTCTGTAATAAGTAAAAATGCAATGATATTTTTCTTTTCCTATATATTGAGCTTGTTTGGCTATTTAAATAATTTTCCCCCATAATTTTTTAAAATTTATGTATTTTTATTGGAAAGTCAGATATACAGAGAGGAGGAGAGACAGAGAAGAAGATCTTCCATCCGCTGATTCACTCCCCAATGTATCGATTTATTTGAAAGACTTTAAAAACAGAGCTCCTGTCCGTCCACTGTTTCAACAGGTGGGGTTACTCCCAATAAGGGTGGCAGGAGCCCAAGGGCTTGTCCTCGCTGGCTACTTCCCAGGGTCTGCGTCAACAGGAACTGTTGAACTATTGAACTGAAGCACAGGACATAAATGTCTTAATAGATAGCTTTTTTAAAAAAATTAATATTATTTAGAATTAAAATTGACAAAGAAAGATCATCCATCTGCCGGTTCACTCCCCAGTGACCACAATGTCCAGCCCTAGGCTGATCCAGAGCTGGGAGCCAGGAATTTATTCCAGGTCTCTCAAATGGGTTGCAGGAGCCCAGGCACTTGGGCCATCTGCTGCTGCTTTCCCAGGAACTGGATTGGAAGCGGGCTTCCAATGTGGAAGTCAGAACTTGAACTGGCAACCATATAACGTGCCAGCACCACAGGCTGAAGGTTAGCCTGCTTTTCACAGGACATTAATAGCAAGTTGGATCAGAAATCAAGCAGCTGTATTTGAACTTGCCTGACTCAAGCCCTGCCTCTAATTCTGACCCAGCTTCCTGCTCTTTAAGTACCCTGGGAGGCAGTAAGTGTGGATTATACTTGGGTCGCTGCCACCCATGATGGAGACCCAAATGGAATTTTCAAAGAGGTATTTACTGGTAAGAGTTACAGAGAGAGGAGGTGGTAGAGGGGATAAGAGAGAGAGATTGAGAGAAAGAGACTATCTCCCTTCCTCTGGTTCGTTTTCCAAATGGTCACAATAGCCTGGGCTGAACCAGGCCAAAGCCAGGAGCTGCTGTCAGTTCTCCCAAGCGCTTGGGCCGTCCACTGCTGCTTCTCCCAGGCCATTATCAGGAGCTGGGTCAGAAGAGGGACAGCCAGGCCACAGACTGGCCCCTCTACCGGTTATTAACAAATCTGTAGGACTCATTTATGAAATGGAGATAATGATGGTACTCAATTAGCAGGATGTTATCAGAAACATTAATATTTAATAAATTCTTCTGAGTTTTACATTTTATTTAAAATAGTTTGCTAAGATAATCTTACTGTTAGCAAAGCTGAATTTTTGCCATGTCTAGTGGATTTCATACTGCTAACCAACTTTGTAAGACAACTAGGTTTTATTTCTGCGGTTTACATTTTGTTTAGGTCACACAACACAAAAGCCTGTTTTGCTTTTGAGTAGACTTGCTAGCAGTCAGACCATGCAACTTTGTTGGGTTGAACATGTTGGGATGATGGTAGCATTTTATAACGGTGTGACTTTAGAGCATTGCCTTCACCAGACCAGTGACTTTCTGAATTCCCCCAGCCCTTGTCACCCAGCTTCTTGCATGTGGCTGGGGAACTATGGGAGAGGACACAGAACATAGCTGGGAGGAAGTGGGGGTGGTGGGCTGTGGGTAGGATTGCTCAAGTAAATCCATTTGTTAAAATTACACAGCTAAGGGCCCGGTGCGATGGCACAGTGGTTAAGGTCCTCGCCTTGCACACCTGGGATCCCATATGGGCGCCGGTTCTAATCCCGGCAGCCCCGCTTCCCATCCATCTCTCTGCCTGTGGCCCGGGAAAACAGTCAAGGACGGCCCAAAGCTTTGGGACCCTGCACCCGCGCAGGAGACCCAGAAGAGGCTCCTGGCTTCGGACCAGCATAGCACCGGCCGTTGTGCTCACTTGGGGAGTGAATCATCGGACGGAAGATCTTCCTCTCTGTCTCTCCTCTCTGTATATCCGCCTTTCCAATAAAAACAAAATAAATCTTAAAAAAAAAATTACACAGCTAAGATTTGTACATTAACTGCATCTAAATTTTTCCTTCAGAAAAGAAAAATTAATCCTAAGTATTGTATTGAATAGGGGTGGAGCTGAACCCAGAGGTAGGAGTGAAAACCAGTAATTGAGGATGAGCGTGAGGATGGTGGGAGTAGAGGTGTCTGGACGGCTTTTGGCATTCTTTAGTCCTTAACATGTATTCCTTTGATGAGATAACGTATTCACTTTGTGCATTGCTGCATTGTTTTCAAGGAAAATATCCACATCATGCTGTGTGAATAATTAGGCATAGACCAATGTTTTGGATGTGTAAAAATTCAATATACCCGTGATACTTTTGGCAATATACGCAATTATCTCCATCGCTAAAGGCAGTGACTTGAATTTGAATTCATCCTTCAGATGAGAAGTTTGATCACATGGAAGTTTCTCTCTTTCTCTCCCTGCTGCCCCGCCAGCCTCTGCCCCATCTCCCTGCAGCTTGATCCTACACAGTAACCCGGCATGAGCTTATGTCACAACCGTCTTTTATTGCAATTAGAATAAGATTCAACTCTTCATCATGGGCTGAAGACCAGGCCCTGCATAATTTAAGTGATGCCTTCGGCCTGCCTCTGGCTAACCTCCCCTGTCCGTGACCTTGATGACCCTCTTTGCACATTCAGAACCTCTGTGTTGTTGGTCCCAAGACCGGCTCCTTCCCATTGGGGTTTGAATGAGAAGTTTACATCTTGGTTGTCTAGCTGGCGTAGCTTCTCTGCACCTTCTCGGTCCTGAGCGCTGGCCCTCGGGGCAGAAGAGACAACATCCCTTGAGCAGTGTTTGGTTTGGGTTTTGAAATGCCACAGACCCCCCTGTGTTTTAGCAAGAGCCTCGGGTGATTGCGCTTTTCAGTCTCCAGAGGAGCTGGCAGGGACCACCCCTCCCGATTCCCCTGTGTGTCTGTGAATAGGCTGGTTCCGTGCATTTCACTTCTTTTCTTTTTTCAACCTGTGTACTGCTATACGTCCCTCAGTAGAAGCTGTTCGGCCTGTTCACTCTGAGATCCTCAGCAACCCAGCACAAAGCCTGCACCTAGTACCTGCTCAGTCAGTGTTTACTGAGCCAACAGATACATGGATATAATCAAGTTTTATGTTCTGTGCAATGTGTAGCTCTGAACAATGAAAGTCTTTACAGCCCCCCGCCCCGCTTGTAAAATCGGAGTTAATAAAAATCACTTTTAATTGTTGTTTTCAGGCAGTTTGCAGAACCAAAGTTTAGTTTTCTTAGAGCACTTTCCAGTTGACGTCACATGGTTGCCGTGGGTATTTAGAGAGCATTCATTCAGAATGAAGTTATCTTCAGAGATTTTTTTTTTAATGAAAGTGAACGTAAATTTGTATCAAGTTTTCTTAAATTGGATTTAGTATTCTTATTTTAAATAGAAAAATAGAATTCCAAAGATATTAAGTTAGTTACAAATAAAAGTTGATGGGTCACAGATGAAAAAATTTCTACTTTTCAGATAAGATTCTATGAAAGATACGTAGTTGATAATATTAACTCTTAAGTCTGGTTTTTTTTTTTTTTTTAATGAACGTTTTAGAAGCTTCTCTGGCGGGTCCCAGGAAATGTTCTCTTACGCATAGCCTGTTGTGATTTGTTCGGAAACAGCTCTCCAGCCTATCAAAACCCAGGCAGTTTCCATCAGTGGCTTCCACCTGGGGGTCATGTTCCCCCTCCAGGGCGTATGTGGCAGTGGCTAAAGACAGTTTTAGTCATAGTCACACTGGGCATGAGGCACTAGCAGTCGGGAGCAGTGCCAAGTCCCCTGGCATCCCAGACGGCCCCTGCCAAAAGGACTGCCCAGCCTAGAATGGCGGTAGTGCCCCCCGCTGTTCCCCCACCCCCGTCTGCAACCACTGCTTCCATCAGCTGCTACTAACATCCAAACATGGAGACAAAATGGTCAGATTTACATGGATATTATTGGCAATTTGCGACATGTTCATTTTAGATCGTTATACAAATCTCGTGACTAACATTCCAATAAAAGAACATTTCAGACATTTGTCAACATAGTTGATCTTAGAAACTGGATGACATTTTCAAATAACTTTATATTTTCAAAAATAGGGAAACGCAAATGTAGGGTTACTGGTTTTCCTTATTTTACAGATGGGGTCGAGGATTTGGTCTTTTGGGTTCCATTTTTGGAAAAGATGGTGTATTAAACCAGCCAAACAGTATCTTTGGACTTATATTTTATATACTACAGTTATTACTTGGTAAGTATTTAAACAGCAATACAAAAAATTAAGTTTGTTGTATTCCATTTAGTACTTTGTGCCTTTGCCCTACAGTATGTCTTTATATTAAACACGTGTTAATGAGAGAACCTCTAGTGTGTAGCACATGTGTGTGTTGTGAAAACTTGGTTCATTGAGATTTTGATAAGACTAATGTTGAATTTACTATCAGTTGTTTAATTATGGATATTAGGAGCGTCTCGTGATATTCAGAAAAAGCCTCTCTCAAGGAAGTTATCGCTCCCATCTTCCCGGTAGCCGCTTTTCCTTATTTTATAGATTGAGGCTATTTTAAAATATCATGTATTAGGAAAACATGAACAGTAAACCACATTCATAATCCCATCATTTCACGTATTCACTTTGTCCATTGTCCTCTGCTTCTTTTAAATTGTTGTTAATACTATTATTCCATTGAGACACAGAGATCTTCCGTGTGCTAGCTCAGTCCCCAAATACCAGCACTGGGACGCAGCAAGGTGGAAGCCAGGAGGCTGGAAGTCACGCTGGTCCTTCGCTGAGGGTAGCAGGGAGGCAGGTGCCTGTCGTCACCCGGAGCAGAAGGGAGGGAGCCAGGACCCCCTCAGCAGCAGCCTCACAACTGCACCAAACACCGACCCAAGTGTGGTGTTTTTTTTTTTTATCTTAATTTTATGTTTATTTGAGAAACAAAGGGAGAAATCTTCCATCCCCACATTCACTCTTCAGATGCTCGCAGCAGCCAGGGTAAGCTGGGGCCTAAGCCAGGAGCCTGGAATTTAATCCGAGTCTCCTGCAGGGGCGTCAGGAGCCCAAGGGCTCGGGCTGGCACCTGCCTCCTAAGGGGTAACTTTCTAGGCATGGGGTTATAATGAGACAAAGGTCAGATATTTTTTGTGGGCTTTAATGTGAATTACCAGATCATTTTCTCACCCAACCTCATAGTTTTCTGTTTCCTAAAATTTCATCCGTGTTCATTTGTGAAGGTGTTTTCTGTGAAATTTCTGATACTTAAATAGTAGTAGCTGTTATTTTGATTTTACTGTTTTAATTTCCTTTTATTGATAGTTTATTTGGTATGATCCTGCTAATGGCCCATTTTCTTTTTTTTTTTTTTTTAAGATTTATTTTTTATTATTGAAAAGGCGTATTTACAGAGAGAGGAAGAGAGAGGGAGAAAGATCTTCCATCTGCTGTTTCACTCCCCAAATGGCTGCAATAGCCAAAGCTAAGCTGATCAAAACCCAGGAGCCAGGAGCCTCTTCCAGGTCTCCCAAGCGGGTACAGGGTCCCAAGGCCTTGAGCCGTCCTCTGCTGCTTTCCCAGGCCATCATGAGGGAGCTGGATGGGAAGTGGAGCAGCTGGGATTAGAACCGGCGCCCATATGGGATGCTGGCGCTTACAAGCAGAGACTGATCAGTTGAACTATCGTGCCAGCCCCCATTTTAATGCATCTTCTGAACGTGTCCTCACTCTTCATCCTTTTTTGTGTTTTGTGAATTTTTAATCATATGAACTTAGACTTTTTCATTAAGCCCAGGTATTTTTGCCTTTGTAAGAAAAGCTTCACTATTTTATTGTCAGTGAGCTCCTCTGTGATTTGATTGATTAAAAATACGCATTTCGCTTCTTTCTATTTGAAGTTGATTGGTTGCGAGGCAAGTTGTGAATCTGATTGGTTTCGGGTAGTCCTGTCAGGTTTGACCATTCTCTTATCTACATGTTCCTCCATGGAGGTGCAGAGATGCACACGCAAGGACAGTCAGAACAGCACTATTTAAAAGAGCCCAGCAGTGGGTCACGGCTGGATGCATGCTGGGGCTGGTGTGTATCCATCCAAAGAGAACAAGCATCTGTGTGTAGATCGGAATGAATAAGGCATCGTTTAGAGAGAATAAAACATAGGTAAATACGTTTCTGTGCATATATGAATAAATGTACAGAAAAGGGACTTTGGTGGGAAGAAATGTCACTTTGGTTTCTTGCATTTCCAAACAATAATATAGAGAGTATAATGCAAGACAGCAGTCTGTTTTCTCCTTCTAGGCCAGAGCCTTAAAAAGCCTGTGACTGTATTAAGCTTGTATGAAGCAGTCATTTCTGTTTATACTGTTAATTTGTTAATTTCATGAATACATATTTTTTTTTTCCAGTCACATTTTCTGAAGCTTTGTTGTAGACCATCACATGCTCTTACAGTGTCAGTGTCTTTGTTGTTGGAGACACATTGTAACTCACCCAGCACTGTGTTCCAAAGTGAGTTATCTTCACTGCCTCCCGGGCTGCTGACGTGGCACTTTGAACTTTCCCACAGATAATGCATCCGCACAGTTCAAAAGTTCAGAAGGAACCACGAGCCAGCGACCCGTCCAGCCAGCTCTCCCTTTGCCCCAGTTTTTCTGTACGCTTTATCCCCCAACCAGTGACCTGTTGTTTTTGGCTTCCTTGTGTATATGAAAGAAAATACAAATGTATAATCTTAATTTTTCTCTTTTCTTAAATATGAAGGGCAGATGCTGTCCAGCTGCCATACTGCCTGTGCGTCCCTGCTCTGTCTCGGTCACCCTCCCATGTCAGTGCCTCCAGTGTCTTCGCTCTGTTCACAGTGAAGTCAGCCCCTTTGCGTGAAGGCGCTGTCACCTGCTGCCAGCACATCCATCTTACATCCCACGGGGGAAATGTCCCCCAAGTCACCAACACCCAGTCACATTGTGATCACACTTACCCATCAGCTGGCATTTACAGGGCCTTGGCCATGTTGCCCACTAGCTCACTTCACTGTGCTTTACTTTAGCTCACTTAATTTTCACTGCAGTCTTCCAGGAAAAGCGTGATTGTTATCCCAGTTTTAGAGTTGAGGAAACAGAGGCGGAGAAAGCGAATAATTTTCACATGTCAAGGTGAAACTAACCTTAGTAGGTAAAATTGAGGTGACAGCATTAACAATTTTTTTTTTTTTAAGTTTTAAATGTTTAGTTTGGGTAAGATTGACAAACTTTTTCCTTAAGAGACTGCCACAGTTCCTTGACCTGGCAGCAGCCACAAGCCTTATGTAAATGAGGCTGGCGGGATTGCAGTTAAGCTTTACCAACAGAAGCAGGTGCCTGGCCAGATTTTCCAGTCACTGACACAAGTAGTTCAGCAGCATCTTGATCTTGAAGAGCCTTTGAAAGCATTGTCTGCTTTGGAGTGGTCCCAATGCCAAGTCCAGCGTTTATGGCTGTGCCCCGGCTCTGAGCCCCCTCCTCCCTTTTGCCAGCAGACCCCAGGATATTAGCTCCGTCAGTGACTTCTCAAAGAGTGTTACCACCTGGTCTTAATCTCGTGCTGCTGTGCATCAGCCCCTGGGCAGGAAGGTGATTTAAAATGTTCTCCATTTTCTCCACTGGAAAGAAATGCACGCGTTTTCTGTGTTTTTGGGCACAGGAAATTACCAGACAGTGCACGTACGGATAGTCAAGAATCTGGGCGCTTATTTTGGTCTTGGAAACCTGGGCCCTCTTTTTTTTTTTTTTTTTTTTTTTTTTTCCTTTTTCTTTATCAGAGATGACCCACGAGAGACCAAATAGCCAAGTGCTGTTTCCTCTTTCCAATAGGGGGGAGCGCGTTCTGAAAGGATCATCAAGATTTTTTTTTCCCACTTCTGCAGCAGTATGTTGGTTTCAGTCACGTTCCGTGAAGCATTTTCAATGCATCTGACCTTGTTTGAGGTCATTTGCTTTCCACAGGTGGGAGGCCTGCAGTGAAAGGCCAGGGCAGGGCTTCTCCATGTACATACAGCTCCTTGACTCCTTAGGAGAGTCGACACTGTTGGTCTTTCCACTCAGCTTCATTGCTTCACGTGATTGTGACACCGCATATTTTCTTGGTACACACTGTCCCTAGTTTATGAAATATCGATAACACCAGCGACATTGCAGCTATCACCCTGGTGTCCCGTCTGTATGGTCAACCTGCACAATCTTAACCGACTGCTGCCCGACCAGGCCAAGAGTTTCTGTTCTCAGACTTGAGAGCTTTGCAGTCGGGCGGGTGAGGGTGGGTGACTGTTCCAACACTGCCGCAGATCACGGAATGTTATTTTGTAACCCGGATGTGTCCTCTGCAGCGTCGAGGCCTGATTGAGCCCGTGTGTCTCTCTCTTACAGGCCTGACCGCGAGTGCAGTGGCGGCTTTGATCCTCATGACGTCCTCCATCGTGTCTGTCGTAGGGTCGTTGTACCTGGCCTATATTCTGTACTTTGTGCTGAAGGAGTTTTGCATCCTCTGTGTCACTACATATGTGCTGAACTTCATTCTTCTTATCATCAACTACAAACGACTAGTTTACTTGAATGAGGCCTGGAAGCGACAGCTGCAGCCCAAACAGGACTGAGGATGGCCTTGATGATGAACTCCTGACTGACCGGCTCAAGTCCCTTTTGTCCCATTAAGTTTATTTTGCAGCATTTTTTTTTTTTTTTTTGATTCTTCACAACAGACACTTTCCCCGAGAATCTTAAACTGATTTTTTAAAAATCCTGTAAATTAGAAGGGGCCCTAGCTATTCTCTGTGTCGATCTTCATTTTGAATGTGGATACAAAACAAAACAAAAAAAGATATGCCAAGCCAATCAAAGACAAGCTTTAACTTTACTTTGAAGATGTTTCTGAAATAATAAAATGTAACCCTAGCCCCATGCCCTCAACTGTAAAGTGAACAACCATTGCTAGTAATTCCTTAATGTGTATAAATTCAATTTCAGGTATAACAGATGTGATCATGACATGAAACTATTTTAGAATAGATGCTGTATTAAATATTGCCATGTTTACAATATGTACTATGTTTTTAGCTGACGGATTTAAACCTGTAGGTTCAACTAGAATCCATTTTTTTGTGATATTTGTAAATAAAGGTAGAAATATTGGCTCCATCCCTGCAGAACTTCCTGTACGGCTTAGTTGAAGCATAGCGACAAAGTGGATTCAGCTCAGTGTTGACGGATGAAATAGTGAAAAAGTGGTAAGCCCCAACAGAGCCTCTTGCGAAAGACGCTGGCGGCGGTGGGTGCAGCAACAGCAGCAGCGACACCAGAAACCTTAGGGCAGTCGGTTCCCTTTCATCTCCATCCTCTGAAAGAAGAAACTGAATTTGACCATTCAAGTCAAGTTTGTGTTAAGGCCTAAAACTGGATGAATTCTAAAACCTTCCACAGAATGAGTTGTGTGACCAGACCTCCGAGTCCAAGGCCTTCGGGACACTGATATAGGAAGTGGGTATATTTCTTTGGAGAAAAACTGGAAATATTCAAATGGCATTTTCAAGTGAAGCCTCTTAAGAGTAGTTGAATTTTCACAGATATTTTTTTCTTCACGTTGGTGCCAGTCAACCCAACAGTGTTAGGACTTGGAAGTGGCCAAAGCCCGCTGCCCGAGGATTGCCTGTCAGTCACGCTGCGGTCTTGTCCCTCCTTGTTCCTGCACTAACTACATCTCTGGTTTGTTTCAGAGTCAGCTATTGGATTCTGTGAGCTTTAGGGCTGACACGCTGCTCAGTTTACTTAGTCGGGAGAAATCCTGCTGGTACAAACAGAAGTAAAATCTGTTCTTTCTGTAACTACACAGATGCAGTGAGAATTTCTAACAACGATTTGAATAAACCCCAGTGGAATTGTGACAGTATGTTTCTATGGTTAACATCTTCTGCCAGAATGTGAAAAGTGCCTTCTGTCTTAAATCTAAAACCAAATATTTTGTGCGTTGAACTTGGGCAGAAGTGTCCTTCCCTCCTTTCGTAATTGAAATTGAAAACTCATATTCCACCAAAAAAAAAAAAAGTTCTGAATGAGCATTTGATTCTTTAGATTGAGGTTTATACCATTGTGTTTGCTTCGGACTCACTTAATGATTCTGTTAAATACAGTCAACTAGATTGGGCATTTTTGAGTGCTGTATTTTGCCTTCTTTTTGAAAGGAGGGGATAGGCCCTGCTCTGTAGATTTGTAGCATCAGCAACTATTCAGTAGTTGGCAACTGTCACCGTTTCAGCAAGGCAGGTATATAAAATCTGAACTTTAACGGACTTTTAGCCAATTTTAACCAGTTTCTTAAAAAGACAGCTTAATTCATCTTTCACTAAGGCTAACGTTTTCCCATGAATGTGAATATTTCAATGCCTGTTTGATTATGTATGTATTGTTCTTGTGTTGTTAAAGTAGTTAGAGAAGTCTGGAAAGCATTTGATTGAACGTGTGGCTTCGATGGAGAAATGAGTCCTCCGATTTGAAAACTGTGCAGTGAGGTCATCTTGTTGAAGTGTGTCTAATTCTACCAAGGCAGTGTGCTGGTTCTGTTTTCTAAACTAGAGTGGAAATGGCTTAACGGTTAAGATGTCTGTGGTATTTATGACACCGCTTGTGCTAAACAAGTTCCTGTGTCCCAATCTCAAATGAGTTTTCATCCTATTTTGTGTCAATCAACAGAGTATAGTTATAGCTTGTCTTGAGGTTACATTCTTGCAAATCTCTTCAACTCTGATATGAGAAAACATGGAAAAATATGCAGCCAAACCCTTCAAGTTTTCCTTCGCTTTCTTAAACCTCGGGGAAACCACTGTTTCAGTTGTATTTTTTTTAAAAAAAAAAAAAAAAAGAAGAAGAAGAAGAAAGAAAGAAAATGCCACATTCCTATGACCTAGTAGGGTGAATGCCCTTTTTCTCACTGAAAGAGGCACCTGTGCTGCCTGCAATAACAGGAGTGTAACGTCACCGTGTGGGTAAGGGACAGAGCCTGTGAGTGGAATTCGGTGTTTTACCTCTGGAAGGCTCGAGGCGTCCCTCTGCACGGTATTCCACCCAGAAGAGGGGCGTGGGAGGGGTGGGAGTCCCATATGATCAATGGTGAAGGTCACTGTGGTTGCAGACTGAGGAGGCGTGAACAGGGCAACGCTGCTCTCCGCAAGTGCTGAGGGACAGACTAGGGCAAGAACTGCACACAAGTGACTTACAACCAATGGAACTTCTTATTTATGTAACAGTCACAAATATTTGAAAAAAAAAAACATAATGGGTTACAGAAGATCAATTCCAGGCACTCTAGGTGGCTTCAACGATTTCATTTGGCCTTTCGTTACAGCTAGTTGCTGGCAGTGAAGGTAAAACTTGTGGGAAAGTGACAGGTTTAATGAGCTGTGTGTCGAGAGACTTTAGTACTTGATGTACGTATACCCTTCCCCAAAATGTGTTAACTTTTAAAGAATGCTGAAAGCACTGACTATGTTCACACAGAAAAGATTGTCGCTTGGTACGTGGGGATCTTTGGACCTGCTTGCTAGGATACAGGACCAAGACTACAATAAAATGAAAATTCTTTGTTGGTTTTTTGTTTCTTGACTCCTTGTTTTAAAAGACCGCAAAAGTACAGAATTCTCTTGGGCAGTTACTTCATAACTTTCAGCAGCAGCCCTGCTGGACACCAGTGGATATTGTCAGGAAATCTTGTCTAGACAAGTGCCAACAAAGAAACCCAGCATCGTTCTGGGGCGCCTCCTTGGGGGGAGACTCGCTAGGCAGCCTTTGTCCCCCAGTCGGTTCCCCCAGGAGACAAGCATTTCTTAGGAGATGTTTTAGGCAGCACTGTGACTCAGTGAGAAATTACCCTTCAGTAAAACAAAAGGGGTGGGGATGGGAGTCCAGGCTATCTGATAAAAAAACGTGTTTTTTTTTTTTTAAACAAATTAACCCCGAGAAGGTAAAATGTTTTGTTATAAAACTGTATTAAGCATGACCTAAATATTAGGTATATGATCTGTATAGTATGTTCCATCAAAACTATTTATTCCTCGTGCTTGTTTAAAACAGAGTTCACTGGGCAGATTTCTCCGTCAGTTCAGAGGGAAATGTTCTTGATCAGAGGCTTAGGACAGTTTTTGCTAACTGGTAAATAAAAACAAAATGTAAATATGTAAGAATGTTCATTTGTTGCACATAACTTTTTTGGTATAAAATAAATGTAGAAGTTACCTGTGCGAGGTGTGCTGCCGTCGTTCTTACGCTATAGCCCCACATTTCAAAATAGAGGCCCAGGTGGAGCTGTGTGGAGCCTCAGAAAGTGTTGCTGAAGCTGACACAGTGACCTTGTTTCTTCAAGGACACTGCTCCTCTTAGAAGGCATAGAGTTCTTACAAGATCCAGCTCGTGGCAGTCCTGTGGTTTACCGTGCTTGTAATTGTCAGCACTTGGTGACAAAAGGTGTTACTGCTGATAGTTCAGTAAACAGAGAAAACATTAACCAGATATTCTCTGGTTATTTTCAAGGCTCACTAACCCTGAAAATTCACTGTGGCATAGCAGGTAAAGCCACTCGTTGCTCGTGATGCTGGCCTCCCTACTGGGTGCCAGTTCAAGTCCTGGCTGCTTCACCTCTGATCCAGGTCACTGACATCCAATTGGGAGACCCAAAATGAAGCTTCTGGTCCCTGGTCCAGCCCGGCCCCATCCTGACTGTTGCAGCCATTTGGGGAGTGAACGAGTGGATGGGAGATCTGTCCCTATCTCCCTTTCTATAACTGACTAGCCAATGTTTTTTTAGAATTAGGATGAACTGTTCCCCCCTCCCACCCCGTCTGGGTCAGGCAGCTGCTCAGGCGACCTGGGCACCAATGGTTCAATTTTAATTTTATTGGGCTATCCAACAGTAAGAACTGGAATGGGTGAGGACTGGTCAGGAAAAGCCACTGTTCCTGCTAGGACAAAAGGTGGACTAAGTAGAGCTGGCCCACAGACCCACTGGTGTGCACAAGATCTGGCATTAGCAGAGGTTCTGGTGGGGGCGCTTGGCAGCTCCTCTGTTGGAACACAGTCCCTGCAGGCGAGCGCAAGAACCAAGAAAGGGAGCAGACCAGGCCAGGTTACTGTACCCACTGGCATACATTTAGCTCGGTAAATCCAAGAACCAGAATGGAGTGTGGGTCATGCCGGGCTGGGCTGGGCTAGACTGTAGCACACACCAGTGTGAGCTAGAACTGGGGCGGGCTGGCCCGGACCAGGCTACGGCATCCAGTGGCAAATGCTGAGATGAGGTGGGCTATGCCACACTGGGCCACAGTACTCAGCCAGCACGCCTGAGACTTGGGGGTTAGGAGGCAAACATGATGGGGGAACTGCGTGGGACTTCCCTGCTGGACCACTACGCCCATTGGTGAGTGTGAACTGGGATGGGGGCAGACCAGGCTGGGCAGGGCTGTTGGCCTGTATGTGAGTTGGATCAGGGTAAAGCCTGCTGATTTGACTGTACCTACCAGTACATGCATAAGCCAGAGGGAGTGTGGGTTGGTTGGGCTTTGCTGTAGCATCAGCTGGCAAATGCTGGCACTAGGAGCTAATTCTGTTAAGCTAAACTGCAGAACCACCTGAAGAGTGTGAGATGTGGCAGTGGGAATGGGTCTATCAGGGAAAGAGTGGGCAACTGCCTGTTGGGTTACCACTCCCACTGGTGAATACAAGAACTAGGACTAGGGGCAGGCATGGCTAGCGAGAGTGACCCCGGCGGGCACCAGGGTATGGGCTGGATAGTGGGGCTGGTTGGGTTGAACTAGGCTTCAATGCCCATTGACATGTGGGAGAGCTGAATGAGATGTGGGACAGACTGGACCAGTCTGCTGTACATACTGGCAAGCATAGAAACCGGGACGGGGGTGGGCCTGGTGAAGGTTATTGGGGGTCGCTACAACTAGCCTGCAGCTCCCACTGGTTTGCATGACGGCCGAGTGTGTGGTGGACAAGATCGGCTGGGCTGCAACACCCACTGGTTTGTGTAGAAGACAGGGCTGGAGGCAGAACTGACCCAACAACTGCAGTGTGTGCATGGGCTAAGTTGGACGATGGACTGCCAGACCCTGTGTTGGCATGCACAAACCAAAATCAGGTCTGGAATCACTTCAGGTGAGGTTACTTTGGGGATCCCCTAACTGAACTGCTGATCTCAGAACCCCAACCATGGAGAGAATTGCAGGTTCCATGGTCTGACCATGGAGTGCATGTATCAGAGCTGGACCTCCTCAGTGGCTTAGATGGAGTAGGGCACAGCTTATCCAGGTGCACACGGAGGATATGGCAGTACACTGGATCCTGCAGAGGACACCTGGTATCCCAGAGGATGGAGGACAGAACGAATTGATCAACCACCCCAGCAAAGAGTTGGCAGTGAATATCTGGGCAAACGGAGACTCTAAGATGGACTATGTCAGCCAGTAGATTCTGGAGAGAGTTCATCGTGCTTGGAGTGGTGGGATTGACAGCAATTCAGAACTGTTGAGCTACCAAAACTATTTGAGCAGGACCCTTAGACCCTGGGATGGTTGGGATGCTGGGTGTGGCTTCTGCCTTTACTTCCTCCCTCCCTTCCGCCAAATACAGGAAGGAAAAAAAAAAAAAAAGAATGTGGAGATAAGGACTCACCCGGGCCTGGCGGCGTGGCCTAGTGGCTGAAGTCCTCTCCTTGAACGCGCCAGGATCCCATATGGGCACCAGTTCTAATCCCGGCAGATCCACTTCCCTTCCAGCTCCCTGCATGTGGCCTGGGAAAGCAGTCGAGGACGGCCCAAAGCCTTGGGACCCTGCACCCATGTGGGAGACCCGGAAGAAGTTCCTGACTCCTGGCTTCGGAGGACCAGTATAGCATCGGCCGTTGCGCTCATTTGGGGAGTGAGTCATTGGATGGAAGATTTTCCTCTCTGTCTCTCCTCTGCTCTGTATATCTGACTTTCCAATAAATAAATCAATCTTAAAAAAAAAATGGACTCCCCCATTTTCCTCTATCTCTTGATCCTTCACACCCTAGTCAACTATGTAAAAATAATCAAAAAGAAAATTATATTTAAAAAAGAAACAAGATGAACTGTGGCACAAATTAATTTATCTTAGGTTGTTACTGTTCTACACTTGATCTTAGCCAAAAGGCCAAGAAACGATTATTGCTTTTTCTAGAACAGCAAAAAATATGTGCAGATTTTCAACAGCAAGTAGGAATCAGCTCAGCTCCCCTAACGCTTATGCTGTCCCAAGATCCGCTGAACATTTCTGGCTGCGATTCAGCTGTGAGGAAGAGCTTTCGCTTCTCCCGTATGAATCTGAAGAGTCTTACGTAAAGATAATCATTTCTGTATTTTTTAAATATTTAAAAGGCAGAGTGATGGGGCAATGATGGGGTAGACCTCCGTCTGCTGATGCATTCCCCAAATGGCCACGATAAGACTGGGAAAACCCAGAGCGAGAGCCTGGGCCTCACCTGGGTCTTGCACATGGACAGCGGGGGGCCTCGTTTGCACCGTCTTGGGCTGTTTTTCTGGAAGCGACTGGGATTTGAACCAGTACTCTAATATGGGATGTCAGGGTTACAGCCAGTGTCTTTTTTTTTTTTTTAAAGCATTCGATCACAATTCTGTTTAATTAAAACATCTTCATTTACAGCCAGTGTCTTAACGTGCCATGCCACAATGCCAAGCTCTAGATTCTTTTTGTTGCCGTGGTGGCCCAAGTTAGAAACTCTTCAGATTAGCTCTAGTCTTTCTTCCACTTTCCTCCTTGTTCTTTCTCTCTTTGCTTCTCTCCTTTGCTTTCTTTCTTGATGTCTTTACTTTCTGAGCATTTCTTGAATGTTTCATCTTGCGGTTTCTTTGCCCCCAGCCCTAGAGCTAGCCATATCGCCAAGGCTCTTGGTTTCTCTTACTAGATATTGGAAATTAGAAAGCAGAATTTGGGTGCAGGGTCCTCCATTGCTGCTAGAGCGGAGCTGTCTCTGGACTGAGCAGAAAGGTAGGGAGCATCCGTATGAGTACCTGGCGTGCACATGCAGTGTCCGTCTCTGTACGTGAGAGACCGTCTGTTCATACTGACACTTTCCAGTTCTACTCCGATACCGGGGTTCATCCCCCTTAGTTGATAGTGTAATTCTAATTTGTGCTTCTAATGAGTGAAGCTGCTCCTTTCCTATGCCTTTTTTTTTTTTTCTTTTTCTCTGAAAGATGACTGTGGCCTTCACTTGTTTTCCCCCCACCCACCCGTGTGGCTTTTTTCCTTTCATTTTCCTAGCAGCTCTGTTTACAGTAAGGAAATTGATTTGGAACCAGGGATTTTAGTCAGTTAAACTAACTTCAGTTTGTGACGTCAGCATCCTCTCTGGGCGCCGGTTCCAGTCTTGGTTGCTCACATCCCAACCCATCTCTCCGCTAATGCACCTGGAAGAGCAACAGCAACAGTGCCGGAGCCCCTGCCACTCATGCGGAAGGCTGGGCTGGAGTTCCTGGCTTCTCCCTGCTGTCTGATCCAGCCCCAGCTCTTGTGCTGTCGGTCCGGCAGAGCCTGCAAGCCACAAGGTGATATGACGTGACATAAAGCTGCCCATCAAGGCATCCCCTTTCCTGCTTCATCCCGGACTTCCAAGAGGAGAAATGATGAAAATACGCAAAGCAAGCTTGATGTGGAACATCCAGTTCCCCGGGTGGCTTCACACAAGGGGGGGCACCACCGCCTGGCTCGGAGGCCGATGTCCAAGGTGAACTGTCTCATCAGACGTTGGCTGGAGCCACTACTCAGGCTTTCTCTCCTCCGCTCTGTTTGGGTAGCCATCTGGTCCACCACTCATCATCGCTGTTTCTCCCTGGGGCAGCCCATACTCGCTCGTGAATGTGTGTTTTCTCTCTCTTGCTGGTAAATAAATCCATTCCTATTTGTGTGTTTCATGGATGCCTGCACATACAAGGCTTATCTTTGTGTGAGACCGAACCTGGCAAGCTTAGGGTATGCTCATGCCCATACAAAACTAAGAAGTTCATGGTTTTTTTTCCATTTTATTTTAAAATATATTACAAATGTGAGGGGGTTGCAGACCCACCCAGGCCTCCAATTAGGATGGAGAGTCAGGGTGGGATGGGCGGGGTGGGTGAGATAATTTTCCATTTTCCCTCCTTTGTTCTGGGTTAGGGGAAGGGAAAATGGGGGGTTGGGAGGAATGTTCTGCTTCTTGCTA